ATAATTTAAAAAAAATGTCCTGAGAGATTTAATTAAATAGCTTAATATTTAACATTGACTCATGACAGGATCATGTTAGAGCTGATTTATTCTTGATTTATTCCACATAAATGTCTTCTGGCTCTGAATAAACTCGGTTGCTTGTATCTTGGTGGGCGACACATTTGTTGTTTTCTCTGTGAATATTTATTTTTGTTTTATTTTATAAACAGCTTTTTAAATCCCAACAAGCTTCGACATGTTGACTGTCATGTTTGTTTTAATCAGTTTAACATCTTATGAATCAGTTTTATTTACATTAAATATTAAACCAACCTGACATTTTACCCAGAACGAGCTGCTCCTGAACATTCAGGTGAAATAATAATCTCTCAGGATTATTATTTAATCTGTGATCTAAAACACAAGTTTTCATTTATTCTGAATGATCCACATCAGCAGCTTTGATTGACACAGACATGCAGCTTTTGATTGACACTTCCGGATCACGTGACAGCCCCTTTGACCCGTCCTCTCGCGAGACTCGGCGCGGCTCGTCGCGAGACCCTGTCTGCAGCAACAAATCGGCTCCTGGAGACAATCTGCTCGTTTCTGCGGTAAGAGGCTGATTAACGGAGCGCGTGCGCGACACGCGCAGACTGTGACACACAAAGGCGCGTGCTGGCGCGCCTCTGTGTGTGCCCGGTGTTGGTGATGGGGGCGTGCGTGTGTGTGTGTGGATGTGGGATGGAGGCTGGATGAGAGCGGCCGGACGTGCACGCGCCGAGCTGCGACGGTTCAGACGGACCGTTTTGGTTGAAGACCATCTCAGCCCTCTTCCTCTGTGCGTGCGCGCGCTCCGGTCCTGCAGGTGACCTTCACGGAGGTCAGAGGTCACGTCTCCAGGTGTTCGGGGCCTCTCAGGTTGGAGGTGGGCGGAGCCTGCTTGGGGATGCTGTGAGCAGCAGCTGGCCTGGACAGGTGTCCAGCGTGCACGTGTCCGCAGAGACAAACATGTTGTGTTCCAGTGTGAGGTGCAGGTATGGTCACGTGCACTAGAACACCTGTATGCGTTGCGTCAGGTCAGACAGGTGTGTTCAAACCATCAGATCTGCCACGTGCAGCAGAAATAACCAGATAAACCTCAGATCAGGATGTGACGCGGTCACCATGGCAACCGATGCTGGAACCTCACCTGAGGCAGCTTCAGACAGGTGACCCGACGTTTTATTAAAAAACAAACTCAACGCTCAAAAAGAGAATTCATCAAAGTTTTTACACCAACTTTAATTTTTTATTTTTCATCGTCACTCGGTGGTTTCTCAACAGATTTAAATTTAAAACTCACATGAAGTTCCTTCAGAGAGTTCCTGACCTTTGACCCGAACGAGACCATGCTGTGAAAAAATAAAACATTTTAGGAACAGTATATAAATTAAATTATTTATTAAAGAAATTAGTTTTAGCAGCGAGATGAGACTTTTTGTTGTAGTTCTGTCGGAACAGCTGAGTCAAAATCAAAATAAAAACAAGTATGAAATTTAGAAAGAAAATTTAATAATTATATTTTTAATTATTTAAATAATTTTTTGAATCATTCTGATATTTGGTTAAGCTGCTGCTGAAGACGAGATGCAGCTGATTCAACTAAAACACATTTTATTTAAAACTAAAACCTGCTTCTTTTTAACACTTTTGCACGTTTGCTTTAATATTTGCAGGTTTATAACCCGCGGCGTTCGTGCGCAACTTTGTTTTCTGTTTATTTTGTGTAAACGAGGAAATAAATCAGATTCTGATCACACGTTTTAGTCCCCGCCGCAGAGCGAAGAATCAGAAATACTTCGTCCATCTGTCCGTCCGTGCACGTTGTGAGCATGAGGACTTGGTAAGTGAGGCGTTAACTTCCAGTGGAGTGCGTGGCTGCACCTCGGAGGAAGAAACGCTCGTTTCACAACTGGGTCGCCACGTCACAATCCAACATGGCTGCCGCCACATACGTCAACGTGAGAACGAAAAATAAACGGCTTCAGTTTTGATGTGCGGCGGCATGTAGGCGTGAGCAAGGTCACGCTCAGGAATTAAATGACCAAGCCCAACTCCTGTGTGTGTGTGTGTGTGTGCGTGTGCGTGCGCGTGCGTGTGTGCGTGCGTGTGCGTGTGTTGCAGACGGGTCATGGAGGTGCCGTCCCACAGCCTCTTCCTGCTGCAGCAGCTCAACGTGCAGAGAGAGTTCGGCTTCCTGTGCGACTGCACCGTCGCCATCGGGAACGTTTACTTCAAAGCTCACCGAGCCGTGCTGGCCTCCTTCTCCAACTACTTCAAGATGATCTTCATCCACCAGTCCAGGTACGAGCACACCTGACGGCACAGGTCACAGTCCCACATTAACCTCAGTGGTTCAGGACTCCAGCAGACCCAGACCCGATCAGGTTTTGTGGCTCAGTTTTGGTTTACACACATTTCATCGATTTACAGTTGGAGACCACAAATCTGTGCACGTTGGACAGGTCCAAGTGGTTCCACAGAGACAGAACATCCGACTCATCTGAGCTACAAATGAAACACAGTCGTCCCCCGATTCTTCGCGGTTCGACTTTTGCGGACTCACTATGTCGCGGGTTTTTAGCGTAAGATAGTGCACGACACACGATTGGCTGATTGATGGCATGGATTGTTTATTTGAAATAATCAAGCCCGACCCGACCCGAGCCTTTAGTCCCCCTCGGTGAACGCTGAGCGGGCCAGATGCCGGGAAGTGTCCCGGTGCCCCGATGGCCGGTCCGCCCCCGCGAGGGGACCCGGAAATTGAACCACACACAGGAGAACCCCTTTTCCACCGGTCCTCTTCAGCCCAGTTCACCTCGACTCTGTTCGGTACACGCTGTGTTTCCATTATACTTTCAGTACCGGTTTTAGTGGGCGGGGTTCAAATTGACGTCACCGCCTCACCAGCTGGTGGCGCTGAAACCATGGAAACAGGTTTCAGCACGGGGTGAGAATTTATTTTGAAGTTTCTGGTAAATTAAAAAGAATAAAGATTATTGAATTATCAAATTAAACTAATATATATATATAAAAATCCTGCTAATGAACTTTTATTGAACTTTAGTTCACCATTAAATCTCTGATGAACCAGATTTTACAAAAACATCTATATTTAAATTTTTATACATTTTCTTCATCATTTGATGTATTTGCACTCATTGTGCACTTTTACTGTTCAATTTAGAAATGCATTTTTTAAATTATTTACAGATATTTTAAAATTATTTTTAGCTTTGATTAAAGTGTAATTCTTGTTTAGTGATTTGTTCATCTGTGGGTTAAAGTTGAACTAAAGGCTGTGTCTGTTCTTTAAAAAATGTTGGAGGGAAATATTCCTGAGATCCAATAATTTAGTCTTTTTATGATTTTTCAGCTGAGTTAACTGTA